CCTCTTCTTGACCATCCTTTCCTTTTCTCTTCCTTCTGCGTTGTTTAGCTTGGGCTCCAACAACTGGCAAGTTGTTCAGTTTCTTTTGGGATGGCCCTTTTGTTCTTCTTCTTCGGTGTCCCTTTTCGTCCTCTGACCACTCTTCGTCGTCCTCTTCTTCATCAACAGGCGGTTTGTATGCCTGTTTATCTAGTGAAATGGCACCCGATTGTCGTGGGATACGCTTCTTGAGACCACCCATAGCGCTTGCAGGTTTGGCTGGTGGATCCATTTTGTTTACAAACGATTCTTCGCGCGAATAATTATAATCAGAGGACATATTTCCATGCGAGGTTTGGCTCTGGGTAGGGGCTAGTCGCGTGCTACCCTGAGAGGACATAGGAGGGTTCATACTGGCGAATGCACCAGTAAGAGATGGGTAGGATCCATCTTCTTCGGCACCATTTGCTCGTTGGCGCAAGTAGAGAGATCCACCAGGGGAAAGAGCACGGACAAAGCTAGAGGCAGCCTCCAACAGGGGACTCTTCCCTCGCAGACGAGCGGTGTCTACATCCTCGTCAGACTCTTCTCCTGCCCTTCCTCGTCTCGAAGAGACGGGTTTTCTAGCCCTGCTAGGTGGTGGAGCGCCAAGTCCGCGAGAACTAGACGACTCATAAACGCCATTCCGATTGCCCGTGGTGTAGCCGTTTGTGGTTGGGTTTCCGCTCATGGCGAAGGATTGTACAGCTTGTGTGAATGCGGATGCTACGTTGACCGATGTATCTCTAAGACTTTCACCGTTTACGCCGTTGACGGTGTTATTAGTGCTCTTTGGCTTGGATGAGGTGTTACGATTCGTGAGGTTTGTGTTGGTAAGGGAAGGATCACGTTGAGATTGGCTGTTAGAAAACAAACGCGGGGATTTATATCAGTCCGAGAGCCGTCACAAGAGCAAAAAAAGACAAGCCATAGGAGGACCAGCCAGCCGAGGCAATAATGGGGCCTCTAAGCCAATGGGGGGAACAACTTGCCAGTTGTTGGAGCCCAAGCTAAACAACGCAGAAGGAAGAGAAAAGGAAAGGATGGTCAAGAAGAGG